GATTGTTTGGACATTTTCTTTACAAATAAATTTGCAAAGTATTTGAGGAATATAGCTAGTGAAAAATTACAAGTCACTTTTGCTTTTTAACATTTTGGTGGAAGTATTGTAATGCTACAAAGCGACGCGACGTTGTGTAGGCGCTGAGGCTACGAAGCTACGTAGTGCGTAGGCGATGCTACGAGATTTTCATCACATTTCTACACGACAACATTCACAACTAGAGGTATCTATGTTCAAACTAAACCAATGTAAGTTGGAATTTGAATTGCTATTACATGAAACATTTCTATACAAAACTAATCAGGAATTAATTCATTTCAATCCAATAGAAAAGATATATTATTTTTATAAGATGAATAGATTTTTATGAAGTAAATGATCTTGAAATCTTGTTTTTCCTTACCTATTCAGTACTTGAGAAATCGAGCTGGATTATTATGGTAAAATAACACATGATTGCCATGTCGCGACCCCGGATCGAACCCCCGCGGATAATTGCGCGCATTAGCTGATTTTCCGATTCATAAAGAATAAATAGCTCAATGGATAACCTGAGTCCATGGACGTCACAGCACAGATACAAGAAGCGCGTGTAAGTAATTTATGGAATTGAATATTTTTCTGTAATTATTATCTTGTGTAGGAAAATTATGGAGAATCTTTTCAAAAGCACAATATGATGCCTGATGAGCCTAAGTCCTCACCTTCGGTGGGTTAAGTAGGGCGATGGTTTTGTTAATAGATAGGCCGAGTTGAATGGTCGAAAATCGAAAAGAACACCCAGAATAGTTCCTACGATGCGCGATTATGCGCTTCTCTCGTAGCTTTCTGCCTCGCACAGCAAAACTGTGGAAGTATCTGGTGTAGGCGATATTTCTGAACCGATACAACTCTAAAATCTTCAAGAAAAGAGCGTATTCCTTTTTAAAATACCAGTAACGCACCTGTGACCTCTCTGGTGTTGCGGGTGTCCATGGGCTTTGCTGACCGCTTACCATCAAGTGATGCATTTGCTAGTTTGCTTCTTAGTCTTTAAAAAAAAATAGGTGAAGTACTATGGGTAAAGTAATATTTAAATTACTTTTTAACTTATTCAGCCAGTAATAATCAAAAGCCGCACATTTGCGCTCATTCATTATATAACTACTATCACTACTGGGTGCTACAGAAAATAACGTTCTTTAAGGAATTTTATTAACAAAACAGAAAATACTTTGGAACATCTTAATGAATTGAGCTGTTTCGGTGTTACAGTAAATTGCTGTTAAAATCCTTTTCACAATTTTAATGGCATCTTTTCGTTTATTGTGGCAGATGGTTTTAAGTAATGCCCATTTTATTTCGTCTGTACGTAAATAGTACTTTTATAGAATGTAATTTAAAGACCGCCTCGTTGGCCGAGTGCTCGCAAGTGCCGGGCAAGGGGTTTCGGGTTCGATTCCCGGGTCGGGCAAAGTATTAATGGGTTTTTGAAAATAATTCTCAGTAGTAGCACGGAGTCTGGAATTGTGCCTGGTATATGGCAATAGGCTCACCCCCTATTACATGGGACTCATAACATAAATAGTGAAAAGTGGGTGTAACATTGTACAGTGGCATAATATGCACCTCTGTCTACCTCTTCGGGGATAAAAGGCGTTATGTTATGTACGTAGATTGTAATTAATGGTATTTTCTCTGTTATTAACCTTATTGAAAACAATTACATATACAAGATTGCCTCGTTGATCGAATTTTTAGTGCGATTGCCGAAACGATCTCGTGTTTGTTTTTTGTTTGGCCAAAGTATTGTTTAGCTGCTTTTCGGTTTTACCTCTACTTATTCAGCCAGTAATAATTACTTTTTATTTTGGACAAAATACAGTAGGCATCTAATAGCACGGAGTCAGGAATTATGCTTCTGAGCACAATTCCAATGCGGCAATAAGCTCAACAGTGCCTATTTTATTAATATCGTATTACATGGGACTCATGAAATAACTGGTGATAGTGGGTGAAACTGGTGAAGATGCGAAAATGTAATGCAACCATTATGTACATATATATCTGTGAAAATGCATGACGGTGCGGTGTGTTGGTTACGTTATGTAAAACGCCAACTTAGTTATTAATTGTTACTGTTGTGAATTATGGTAGAATGTAAGAATATATAATTTGGCCCTTATTTAGGGGGCTGTAGAGAGCAAATCTATTTTCATTACGGATCGAGCTCACTATGAATCACTTTAGAGTTCATTCGGTATGAACAATCAGTAATTTAGAGTTCTAAAAACGCAATACTATACTTTTACCCAATTTGAATTTAACTCATAATAACTTACAATTTTACATTTACTGATTTCTTCTCTATAGCTACGCTATTCTGTAACTTTAAATTCGAAAGATCGAAGTAAACTGGATCGCGTACTCGCCCGTCATTGGTCGAGATTATTCTCACAATCGACCAATATGGCGGACGGTGATGGAGTTTACTTCGATCTTTCGAATTGAAAGTTACAGAATACCCTAAAAGGTCTAGTTTATTATTCTGACTTCCAAGACTCAAACATAACATTACGCCTTTTATCCCCGAAGGGGTAGGCAGAGGTGGACATTACGGCACTTAATGCCACTGTACAATGTAACACCCACTTTTCACTACTTATGTTATGAGTCCCATGTAATAGGTGAGGTGAGCCTATTGCCATATATACCGGGCACAATTCCAGACTCCGTGCTACTACTGAGAATTTTTTAAAAACCCAGTAGTACTTTGCCCGACCCAGGAATCGAACCCGAGACCCTTTGCCCGACAGTCGCACTTGCGACTACTTGGCCAACGAGGCAGTCACTTCAAAGACTCAATCGAATGGTAAATAAATACCGATGTGTGAAGGAGTTCTGAGGCTAAAACAATTTTGAGAAAGAATATCAGACTCAGACATAGATCTATCTGAATTAGTTAGTGTCTCTAGAGAATGTTGTTTCTACCTCATAATAAAAGAGAAATGTGGATTTTCTTAACGTATTATTTCGGAGTTAAGTATATTCGGGTATTAACATTGAATTTATCAGTGTCGCCTAGTAGTCATGCACGTATCTTATATAGGTCTGGCAAGTAGTTAAATACCCTACTAATATAATCTTATACGTTTATTATATAAAGCTTTATTGTTTTTTTGTTTGTTTGTTTGAACGCAGTAATCTCTGTAACTACAAGTCTGATTTGAATAATTCTTTTTGTGTTGGATAGCGCATTTATTGAGGATGGCTATAGGCTATAAAACATCACGGTAAGACCAATAGGAGCTTAGCAGAGCGTGTGAACCCGCGCGGAAGTAGCTAGTAATATTATTAATGCGAAATTTTGTGAGGTGTATGTTTGTGTATTTGTCACTCTTTCACAACAAAACGGCTGAAGGGATCGAGATGAAATTTGGAACAGGGGTAGAGGATGGTCTTAAATGTGTTGTGTTAAGTTATTTTATAGCGTACTCTGCATTCCACGGGAACGCAGGAACAGAGGCTAGTTTATAATAAACTAGCGACCCGCCACGGCTTCGCACGGGTGTAATATGAATGTACTATACATATAAACCTTCGTTAAGAATCACTCTATCTATCAAAAAAAGTCGCATCAAAATCCGTTGCGTAGTTTTAAAGATCTAAGCATACATAGGGACAGACAGACGGCGGATAGATAGCGACTTTGTTTTATACTATGTGGTGATGTACTTTTCAAGTTTATTTGTAACTAATTACTGAGGTGAAGGAAACCTGAATGTATGGTTTGATTCTGAGTCTAAAACCACCGATGCCTTCTTCATATAAGAACAAGCCTTTGCCCAGCAGTAGAACAGTTTATTCAGGACTTTTGAATCGATTCATGTTTGTCAGTCTTAGGTTCATTAGGTTCATCATGGGTCACATGAAGAACATTTTTGTTTTACACATATAGTTAGGTAGATTTTATGTTCTTCCCCTTGCTCATTCTCTTAATCACTGTCTACTGGGCTAAATTACGAAGTAGCCATGATATGTAATGAATCATGACATGAAATATAAAGCTGAAGAGTTTGTTACTTTGTTTGTTTTAACCCAATAATCTCAGTAACTATTGGTCGGATTTGAAAAAATATTTCTGTGTTGAATAGCCCATTCATTGATGTCATAACTACTGGGGGCTTTCTCTTGAATCCAATTCCGATCGATCGACATTGGTATTGTAAAATTTCGTACTCTTGAGTTGCAACACTAGCGCCCATTGCATCCGTATTGCGTGGATATTTAATGAACTAAATGGTATTGAGTTTGTCTTTATATTCCGTACTTTCAATGCTATTTCAATAGCTACGATTTTTTTTTTTTGTAAGTGGGGAAAATCATCGAATGAGTGCTCCCGCCTGGGTGAGGCGGGAGGGAGTGTCAGACTCTTACTGACTAAAAACCACCCCGTTCCTTCTCCTGCACGTCGAGCCGGAGCCCCGGTTACCCGTTAGGTTCTCCGCGACTCCGAATCGGCATCGGCCGTATTGGGCCCCATCTGTGGTGGTCTGATGGCTCTTTGAGGCGCGCGCGGAACGCGACGCGCCGTACGCTCGGGTCTGTTTCTGGTCGGACGGGGAGCCACCCATGCTCGCCGTCCGCAGGCCCGCGGTCAACAGCTACGATAGAGGTTGTATAATTTTGACATTCAATAATTATTGAGATTTCATTGGATTGAAATTGTATTAACATTGAGATTGGTTTCAAGAGTAAGCACCCTGGTCCGATTTGAAAAAATCTTATTGTCTTGGATAGCCCATTTATCGATGAAGGCTATAGTTTAGAAAACATTACGCTATGATTAGTAGGTGACGAGCAGTGTAGGTTAAACCGTGGGGAAGTAGCTAGTATTAAATAAAACATGTATTAGACAAACAAAAGTTTATTTCATCGATTATCTTTATTAATAATAACACTTATCTACAATAGATTTTATATATAATGTATAAGTAGTATACTTATTATAATGTAGACAATATAATGTTAATATATAGATAAAGGGTAAAGAGAAACAATATTTCAGACTAATGACAATATTTTAACTAAATCATAGTGTTTTCTGGAAGAGAATTTTAAATGAAAAGTTTTAATTACCTTAGAATATATTTTCCACGACCTAGATAGACATTATACTTTATGACTAGACACGATCTACTAGATGGATGAAAGGGTAGTTAATTAATGTCATGGACACTGGCAAATGAACAGATAATCCATAAATACGATAATTAAGTGACATTTTCTTAGCAGTAGGTATTAGCTTTGGCTTCAAAATAATCGATTTATGAGACTCGTTCGAAACAAGCCTGACATTTGCGAGTTATATAAGTATCGATTACAATTATTAATACTTTAACTGACATTTAAATTGTTACAGAATGTATTTACATTGAATGTTAATCATCATTTTGGAAGATCAACGACCTCATTATGAAACGGCTCCTTATACCTTATACTATAAGGCTTATGTTTGGATGGTAAAAAATAATTTGACATATGCTTTGATCGTTTCACAATATGGCCGCTGCGCATTTGTTTTTTTTCTATTTTTTTAATGGAGAATATTGACGACGTTTTGTTCGTTCGTGCTACACTAGGTCAAAGGGTCGATGCGTCGTTGAGTTGGTGGTGTTCACTTGCGGAAGCAGGAGATTGGGTTGAAGTAGCACTGGCGGAATCGCACCTGCCGCTTGTCTGCCCTCCACTGCCGTGCCAGACGGCTGTCAAGCGCCCGAAGACCCCAGCCGCGGGGCTCAGCTTGTGGCCACGAGCGAGTCACCCTGCCCATCCTGGAATTAAAGTCTTATTTAATAAATGTGCAATTGGTGTACTGTAATGTCTGTTGTTGTTGGATTATAGACAAAACGAGTCAGTCAAAATCTATGGTATGATAACAGACGGTTGAAAATGAGGTCCAGGCCAAAGCGAGTCGAGAACAATCTAATCTATGAATTTATTTATAAACTCATCACTACTAATTCTTACTCAGTATTAAACAACCGTTCAAAGTATGAAATCAATGTGTCACGAACGAAACCATAAAAATAGAAACAACAAGATTCCATCAAGAAAAATCTTTGTTTAAGAACAGTGACATCAAAGTCTTCAATCAAAAGGTAACTTATTGATTAACCTACAATTATAATCGTTAATTTGTTTATTATTTCGTACCAAAAGTCACACGGCAACAACAATAAGTATGAAGGAAACAAAACGTACCTAAGTATTCGATGTCAATCGGAATTAAAAAAGCAATTTCATTCACAGTTGCTTTGCAATTCACTGCCTATTAAGTCAGTACCTGTTACTGTCTAGTCTAGGTATTTTATTTTATATTGAAAATCTGATTCTAGTTTGTACTTAGGTACATACTTAGTTTTTATTTGCTTGTAGTTATAATCACCGTTTGGTGGTGGCCCGCAGGTTAAGACGCCTGCTTCTCATACATGAGGGTGCAGGTTCGAAATCTACCAACGGCAAGTACCAATGTGGCATTTTCCGAGTTCTATGTATTTTCTAAGATTATTTAGACACCCCTGATAAACTGTGACGGAAAACATCGTGAGGAAACCTGGACTTAAAACTTCTAATTATAAGTTTGGAATCGCCAACCCGCAATGAGCAAGCGTGGTGATGAATGCTCAAACCTTCTCCGTGAGAGAAAATGCTTTGTTCAGCAGCGGCCACTTATAGGCTGTTGATGAATAATCAGCTGTTATGAAAATTAATTAGTTTTATTAAACACACAAAAATATTTTTATTTGGTTGAAAAAACCACTGACCAACTACTATTTAACAATTCTCTGATGTTTGAGTAACAAGTAAATCGTAGATAGCTTAATATTTTTTCAACATTGTCTTACATTTCGCTCTAACAGTTTCGGCTTCTTAAGTATAAACATACCTATTTTAAAACTAAAAGTATTTCCATAATATCATAATATAATAGGAGGAGCGAGCAGACGGATCACCTGATGGTAATCGATCAGCGCCGCCCATGGACACCCGCAACACCAGAGGAGTCACAAGTGCGTTGCCGGCCTTTTAAAAAGGAATACGCTCTATTCTTGAAGGTTTGAAGGTCGGTACAAGCGTACGATATTCATCAGAATAGTTAAAAAAATGTATATTACTCTATTTTTATATAATTTGTTAGTAGGTACGATAACGATACTAAAGTTATGCAACGAGTACGCAGCAGAATCAATCAGGTTTAATTGGACGGGAAGTGTATGAGCCACTGTGAACAATAAATCCTTATAAGTGGCACTAACCATGATCGTACTAATTTATTTCCTACGTATTTATGAACATGTCGTGTAAATAAATACAATTTTCATTACCTAATACGTGTTGAATTCATGTAACGTCTAGATGTTATGACTGTTTTGCGATACAAGATTGTGAAATGCAAAGCCTATTCTTAAATATCACATCATAACAAATTATATAAGTGACCACTGCTGACCAAAGGCCTCTTCTCACATAGAGAAGGTTTGTGTATTAATCACCACGCTTGCTCAATGAGGATTGGCTATTTAAAACTTATAATAAGAAATTATAGGCCCAGATTTCCTCACGATGTTTTCCTTCACTGTTTGTCAGTGGCGTCTAAATAATCTTGAGAAACTACGTATAACTCGGCAAAAGTCAGTTTGGTACTTGACCTTCCGTTGGTAGGTTTCGAACACGCACCCTCATGAATGAGAAGCGGGCGTCTTAAAACCTCCGGGCAACCACGACATTCTCAAATATACCTACCATGTACGTATACCTACTCTTAAATTCTCACCACTGTTAGCTAGTTTCAGGTAAAATAAGGGATTGATTTAAGGACTTTAAGATAAGATAAATACTCTTAAAAAAGTCGGAAGAAAACTGTTGCTACAGTGATATACGGTTCAATGTTATGTAAACTATAGTCACTCTTTATCCAGACCATAAAACACGCATAAATAAAGTCTTGCTCAATATCTTTTTTCTATTCTTCAACAAAGAATAGGAAACTGAACTGAACGAATAAATACCCTATTCTATAAATAACGAGACACGTCTATAAAATAGTGTTTACCTAATTCTTTAGCTTCATAAACAACGTTGAATGTTGTCCTTTCGTAGTTTTGTCAAATTAATTCAATTTGCAAAACATTGTTTCTGTATTTAGGGTGGCAGATGTTTTGGACCGAGGTCCGGTTGTTCACGAGTCGTCCTGTAGTTTGTAGACGACTACCTACTAGTTAATGGCGGCCGGGCCAAGCTAAACACAAAGTAACATAAGCTCTTGGACTAACCGGCTGGCCGCTTCATTCTTTGTTCTACATTAGCAGTTGCCCAACTATTTGCTAAACATTTTCTAACATTACACAACTTTGCTGCTAAGTAATTTAAAATTCAAATACCAGTTTAATTAATTAAAACTATTGCCTAGCTTGTTATTTTGTGGGATTATTGATATTGTTATTAACATAACTGAATATTATATCGTTATTTGTTATTTTTCCAGTGTTTATGCTAGTCTGCGTCAAGGTTTTAATAACGTAAAGTTATTCAATTTAATCCCTGTATACATAAATTAATCCAAACATAAACTATAACACCGTAAAATCCGTACAAGCTTCTCTAGTTATTTTCACGTCCAACCCTTAGAAACAGCTTTCCTAGCCAACCAGCGAGATCAACACGCGGATTTTTATACAATACATAATTAGAAGAGAGGAATAATGAGAGTATAGTCACCTGTCCTCGGCGTCAAGTTGCAGCAGCAGTTTGCGTAGAGCGGCAGTGTTGATAGCATCCCAGGGGCCTGAGAGCTCCATGTCACCATCCGGATGCGCCACAAGGGTGTTCTCGGCGGTCTCGTCGTCCGCCTCCTGAACAAACACCACCCACTTGAGTCTATGTACCCATCCGACCTGCCTCTCACAAGTACATCGACCCATTAGCCTCACATTAGACGCCTATTAGAACCACCCCCGATGGTTCGTTAAATCCCACACACACAACACTCGTCAGCTGATTGCTCACTTCAAAAAGCTTCCGAAATCTAATTATTCTTCGTAACGACATGTTCTTTCTTTGACCACATTCATTTGTGTAATTAAATCAGCCTGTTTTCCCTCACGAGTCGCCGTCACTGGAATAATTTCCTATTTCCTCCTAGCATCCGCTACATAAAGTGTAAAATGAGCTCTTAGAAATTTCGTTTAGCAAATTGACCTAAAGAGCAGACTTTATAGGAGCTCTTAAGTTAATTTACTTTTAACGTAATATTAGACTTGTTGTGTGAGAAGTGACGGCTCCTTAACTCCTCTTAATTATTTTTACATTACCGTCTGCTTGAACACCTTCGTACTTTGGTTTCATACTTTTTAGTACATTTCCTACACTTGATTTTTATGGATGTACAGGACGTATATGTGCTCTATTTGTATTTAGATAAGCTACATAATCACACTTGAAAACTTTATTGCTGACAAGTAATAATGATTAATAATGTATCGTCATATTATCAGTTTGGGCTAAAAGCTACTTTGTAAACCCTAATATTGGCTGTGAATTGACAGTATGAAAGAGTGCCAGATAACGCGCTAATGTAGGATACATTAACCAATTATTAGGCTTGTTAGAATTAGGTAAAATGTATTTTATATGTTTCATAACCAGGTGTAGGTAAGAGTTTAGATAGTACAGATACAGACAGCTCAACAACCTATCCGAATTACATCTAATTACATAATGTGATTTTTTACTTTATTACAAAAAGAACTAACTTGAAATATATTTAAAATGGATTATTTTTTAGTATTGTATTAGTTTGTTTCATATAATACTATCATAATTCTAAAATATTATTATCCAATCCAATTCGCGCCTTTTTGGTTACGGGATACAGATGTGTTTTCCTTGTGTTAAATAAACATAAAAAAACAAAACCAAATCAATAAAATTTAGCTTACCATTGGTGCAGCATTAATTGTGACGAATAGTAGAGCCAACATGGCCGCCACGACTCCCAGGTAGACGTTGTACGCGCTCGCTTTCATTGTGATCCTTCAGACTGAAAGCAAAGAACTAATTAGATTATCAAATCAATAAACCGTAAATTGCTTTTAAACTAAAAAGTTCAATAACCTACAAACTTTTTAAAGATACAGTAGAGAGGTGAATTATTGTTAAACTGCTTACTAATCTAAGTAGAGGATAAAGTACTTATAACTTGTTGCGAGTTAAGTACAGATTAATATGTATTGAGAAAATTACTTATAGATTTATACAGATTCGGTAGGTAAATAGCAAGATTCTTTAAAGATTAAAACCGATTGTTGTGATATGAAACGAAGTCGCTTGTGCCGCAACAAATAATAACTTCCCTAAAACTCAAATACGTTAGTTTTTAGTACGATATTCTCAGATTCAATACGTAATGCAACTCCATTCCAATTACAAACTGGTTTAATAAAATATATCGAGGTAATTATTGAACAAATCAAAATTAGGTCCAAAATCACACATTCGCATCCGACATAGAATTTGAATGTGGTCAATTAATCAAATATGTGAAAGGACCTATGTAAATAACACCTAACATGTTTGACGCGGTCCCTCCCACATCTAATTAGCCCTCTAATTTAAACACGGAAATAACCAAAGTCACGTTTCATTTAATTTGCCCAAAGTTATTTTAATGACCAAATATTACAAACATTGACGTTTTTTCTGACAGTCACGGTTTATGAGTACGTAAGTCAATTAGGTCGACGCCAATTATTTGAACTTTAACCTGCGAATTAATTAAAAGTTTAAATAATTTCGTGTCGTATCGAGCTTTTATATTCGAAAAAATATTTTCGTATTTATGACATCCATAAATTGGCGGGGATTACGTGTAAGGGGGTAGAAATGAGTTTTCCTTGTTTTTGTGAAAGACCTTGTGACTTCGATGGTAGTAAAAGCAGTTACTTAAAGGCCTGACCCCATAAAGTTTAAGTAACGTGATGGTTTATGTCGGTGGCCTTTGATGCGAGTCTTGTAACAGATGATGGAAACAAACATGTGATTCTGAGCCCCTCAGGTAGCTTTATCAGTAATAAATACGCAATAGTTTTCCAATCATAAAAGGGATCTCTTTATCAAAGGACGATAATAATAAAATTTTGTCAAGTATGTATTATTGGACTAGCTTTGGTGATGCTTCTCCGTATCTCTATATACAGCATGTATTATTAATGTGGAATAACGTTTTATGAGGATTTCTGAGGATTTGTAGTTATGTTTCGATTTTGTCTTTTGATCCATTGTTTTAATGTAGAAAACTATTTACAGATATTGATGCCAGTATGTATTATTTCAGTAGCTTCTGATGTTCAGATAAATAATTAGTTCGTATAATATTTCATAGACCCTATCCACAGGGAGTAGTTGATTTGAATTAATCTAAAAGGTTTGTTACTTATTCCATTCTACGCCTAAAACTAGTACTGAAATTAATGAATATGGCGTACCCATATCTAGTATTAATAATTGGTCGATGATAATAATAATATTATAATTTATTTTCTAACAGGTTATGGCCTAAACCACTCTGACTAATTGCTGTTAGACCAAGCTTCTATTATGGCTGTGAATATTAATATTTATTATCAATGATTACCAATTCACACGCGTACTCTGGTCTATCAACATAAACAACAATAATGTAACAGCCTGTGATATGATTGTCCACTACTAGACGATTGGCCTTTTTTATAATAGGCTAGTATACTAAACGTCGTACGTCTTGTAGATAAATTTAAAAACATTAGACTCATATTTTTCGTTTTCTTACGGAAACGAATATTTTCGAAGATATATTGATTTGAAATATCGCATGACGTCACTTTTAAGTCTAACTCTAATATGACGTTGTTACCTCCCACTCCTAAGCTTTGATTCGTTTTGTCTAAGTATTGTTTTCTTATACGACAAAATCTATACATATAATAAAATTGTAGAAAAGTGCTGTCTGTACATTGAAAATAAAAATAAAAAAAATAGCAGGGGCTATTGTTATGTCGATGTCGAACCCAAAAATGTAACTAACTTTTTTTTTGTCTGTTTGTCTGTTTGTCTGTTCACGCTAATCTCAGAAACGGCTGATCCGAGTTGGATGCGGTTTTCATGAATATATTGTGGTATGCTTCAGTTATGCTTTAGTGTTTGTTTCATGTAAATCGGTTCATAAATAAAAAAGTTATGTCAAATTAAAGAATCACGTCGAACACTATTCTATGCTTATACATACATCTATCTATATCAGTGGCGTGCAGTCCATATAGGCAAAAAGGCTTTGCTTGACATAAAATGTACAAACGCGTTTATTAAGATTCAATAATAAAATAAAAGTTTGTAAATTTAAAATACCCTAATTTGCAAATACAGCAGACACTCGAAACGGTGAATAATTGGCTCCAAATCCATAATTTAGAAATAAATAGTTGCAAAACTAAATTGATGCAATTTAGATCGTACAAAAGACCTCCCTTAAATCTAGACATAGCATTCAATAACATGAAAATAGAAGAAGTTAATACATTTAGCCTACTCGGCATTAATATTGACACTCACATAAATTGGAAGTCACACATAGAACACATAAAAACCAAATTATCTAATTTCACTTACGCTCTTTTTCAAATAAAACAAAGCACTGACACACATACAGCTATGGCTGCTTACTACGCTTATGCATACTCGTGGCTGCGCTACGGTGCCATGTTGTGGGGAAATAGTGTAAACGTACAGGAAATATTTGTAATGCAAAAGAAGTGTATAAGAATTCTAGCCCAAATAGATAGTACACAAAGCTGCAAACCATACTTCAAACAATACGAAATCTTAACCGTCCCGTCAATATACATACTTGATTTATGTATTTTTGTTTTTAAAAATATCGACAAATTCACACGAGTAGAAGATACACACAGCGTCAACACGCGCCATAAAAAAAGATTATGTGCGCCACCATCAAAAATAAAAATGTTAACTAATAGTCCATACTATATGGCTATAAAAATATATAATAAATTGCCAGATGGATTAAAATCTGAAAAATCAATATTAGTATTTCAAAAACGATTAAAGATATACCTAATAAAAGAATGCTTCTACTCAGTGACGGAATATTTAGAGTCCAAAATAAAATAATTTTAATTCATGTGGGAACCGTCGATCTGCCCTATACAAACGAAATGTATATACCTACTCGACATAACATAACATTGAAATACCTTGACATTGTATAATTTTATTATTGACATCCTAAACTCGACAGCAATTATACC